TACGACGCACGAGACTGTCAAGTTTTTCCCAGAACATGTGTTTGCTCTCGGTGGTGGCCACGTCTGTTGGGGCATACGCAGCCACGAAGGTCACCGCTCCGCGGTGGCCCATCATCTCAAACCTCATAGCCATGAGGCGCTCGTCCACGTACTCCGTGGTGTACTGGGAGGATTTGCACAGCGTCTCCTCCACAGCGATTCCGACGCCATGCGTACCACCCTTGTCCGTGCCACAGGTGAACACCCGAAAACCGGATGCTGCGAACTCCGTTCGCCCTGGTCTCCTGACCTCCTGCAGACCGACAAACGAAATGCCCTGTTTCGCTGCCTCGTGTAAGACGCTGTCGGCTCTCCCATAGCCGTTGGCCCCGTTCACGGCCAGTGTACGCACATTGTAGGTTGCTACCCTAACAAGTCGACCCTGCCGCTTACATAATATATTGTGCCAAAGCCATATTGTAGTGTTAGATAGACAACACCGCGCATCCGGCACATGCACCTACGAGACGCCGTGAAGCGCGCGACGACGGAAATGCTGTGCACTCGATGCGTTGCTCGGTAGGCGAGGTGTGTTTGCAAAGGGCTGTGCTTTCGGAAGCCTGGAAAGCGTGAAGAGTGTGGTGCGCTGTAGCCACAGCTGTACCACGCGCCAACGGTTGTCGTGTGTATGTATGTTCACCACGAATGGACGTGACGCCACAAGATGCGTCGCCTGGAAATCATGGGGGTGTCGTCTCCACAGGTGTAGCAAGGAAACGTGCAGCAAGGACGTGGTGCGCAAAAAAAAATCGAAAAACAAAATTATCGCCACGTACGTATCATTTTCTACATTTTTCTACTCCGAGTATTCGGAGGAGTATGTTAGCACTGCGCCGAATGCAATCTTGTGAGTATAAAAATAAAATGACATTCGATCAAGATTGATTTCGTGTGACGAAACGGTCGAAGGACAAGAACGTTCTAGGTTTTCGGCTGACGGAGGCGGTACGTCAGCGGGTGCCTGTTTTCGGGTGTTCATTTGTCGCTCAAAGAGAGCCCAGATTAAAAAAAACTGGCAACTATTTTTTAGCGCTGCGCCGGAGTGCAATCCTTTGAGCATAAAAATGAAATGACATTCGATGAAAGGTGATTTTCGTGCAGCAAAATGCTCGCGGAAGAAGCTCACAGAAGAAGCACATAGTTCCGGCCAGACTCGATACAGGTTCATACTATTTGGTGGGATCGGGGTGTTGAGCCGCACACTGGCACCGATGTAGGATATTTGTGAGCATCGGACCAAATTGCAGACTTTGCACTCGGTCAACTACATATATATGCGATGTTCTGTTTATGAACCGCAACCGTAGAATCTATGCTATTTCACGCATTACACCAGTGGTACGGAGTGTGTCCTCTACTGACGTCGCCTGTTCAGGCTGGGAATCTTCCCACAGCAAGACCCCTTCTCGAGCGTTCGCCGTACGGGACGTGTTGCCATGATGTTCGGCTCGTGGGACGAAATGTCGTTGTTTTGGAGCGGGTTGCCGACCGTGTTGCTGATCTGAGGAGATAAGCACTGGCCTCCGCTGTACTTTACGTAGACTCGACGGGGTTGTTCGTGTCGAACGCCGGGCGATGTTCGAGTACTGGGTGTATTTGTTTTTTTAAACAGTCCGCTCCACAGAAGAGGATTTGGGTGGTGCACACCCCCAATCACTTCAGATCTCTTGCTTGAACACATGCAACAGATATTTTGTACGAGAACGCAACCGTACTTTGTTTCCTCGCCGGAGAGGGCGTCTGTGGAGTGGAATTGCACCCTCCTTGAGGGGAAATCGTGTCACAGGAGGAAGGGGGTCTACATAGTTGACAACGAGTTGTTTTTCGCTCACGAAAACTGGCGACATTTGAGCAATTACGATCTCTGGGATATACTGTGCAAACGTTTGGGGCGAAGGACACGTTATTGCACGCGCACAGCAGTCATTTCTAGCTATCAGACGACCATACGCCCCCAGGGGGTATGGTTGGTAACCTCGGAAACATTCTGGCGTCAGGTCATGAGTGCATCAAGTCCCGATGAATCCACACGAACTGGGATTTCCCCGCGTCACAACACTGGAGACCACTTTGTCGTGGCTGTACTCAGACCCGTCGCTGTTGCCTGTCCTGTTTCCCATTTGATCCAGGATGGAACCTCGGAGACTGATGTTTTTGCAGGTGGTGCGATGGGCCCGAATGGATCCTGCGTCTTGGCAGGTAGGAGCGGCAGCGCGAGTGCTTCCCGGAGGCACGAGATTGGTTTTTCGTAGATATTCAGAGATATCTCCGTTTTTGGAGTGTGCGACGACAGCTTCCACTAAACAAGGCTCTTCCCGGCGTTGACCAAAATATGTGTCTACGCAGGTGCAACTGAGGGGGCCTGGGACGGCACCAATTTCGGAGGCAACGATATGGCAGCGATAAAGCTAGACGCCGAGGGAAACGAGTTGTGGCGGTACCAGGTGGGTTGTTCCCTTGCAACCTGCTTGCTGTAAGCGTGTGACACATTCTTGGTTGGTGCTGTCTCATGATCCTACCTATCTACCATTGCCAGGCTGAAGGGGGGCTAGCACAGTAGTTGGGTTCCCCAAGAGGTCGCCCGGGCCTTTGCCTATGCGGTCCCTGAAATGCGGCCTGATTAGGGTTTCCGTTGGCAGATCTGGTGAGCCCATGAAACGGTGCTCGAGATACTACACTGAGTCACAACTGAAGCATTTGAGCAAGAATGTCGTGGTGGTGTCGAACGTCATAGCGCCTAGTGTCTTGTGCCCGATAGTTTGCGCACCCTCGAAACCGATGCAACAATCACAGATACCCATCTATACCTACATCCATGGTGACCTGGAGCAAACCTACCGCGAGCAAAGTTTCTGCTCTGAAGGTTCATACATACATGCCCGTCCGGTACCGGGGATCTGAACTGGTTTCGCCATCAATCTCCTCAGTTGGCATTGTCTGATGCTAGTTCGAGTTTTCACCGTCGTGTCTACCTGGACCTACTTCTGTTCCGCGCGTATTCGTGCGTCTATCGCCTGTAGGCCCTTCGTGAGGTCAACCATGTGTATGGCCTTCTCTGTCTGTGCTGATTTTCTCTCAGCCAGCCACTCTCCGTCTCTCTCCGTCTTGCTCTCTGAAGATTGGAAGTGCAGCAGATGACGCATTCGAGGCAGCCGTGACTCATCAGGATGGATCCGTCGTGCTGGCAGGACACCAGAATTTGGACTTCTATGTCACTAAGCTCGACGCTGAAGGGACCTTGGAGTGGTCGTTCGAGGTAAAGTTACCCTCGGGTTGGGGTTGTATCACCGAAGCCTTTAGCACCGTGGCACGCGTCATTCTGGGCTCGAGCCACACAATGGTTGGTTCGGGTATCTGAACACAACGTGCGACGCGGTCATCCACACTTTTCTGATTTCAGACAAATCTGTTGTCGAGCCAAACGTTGGCCGCGCTTCCTCATGGAGAGGAGTCAAATCAGTATTTCGCTGGTATTTAGCAACCTAGATCGAATGTTCTTCATCGAGATAAACGGGTTGGGGCCATCTCAATCTTCCTCCTGCGTTTGTTTGCTGGCGGCCAGGATGGCACACCTGAGGATGATATCCCGTATTGGATGGCCATGGCGGGAGATGGCTCCGTGATCTGCGTGGGGCAGACATACGGCAGTTGGGATGGAGACGCCAATGGGGACAGTGACTTTGCCGCCTTTCGGCTCGACGGGAATGGAGAAGAGATCTGGCGGTATCAGGTTGGTTTTTCCCCAAAGAGAGAGCCGGCTGACTGTGCGTATGAATATTCATGCTCGCCCCGCATCTCCAATCACTGATCGCCGCTTTTTCCGGTCGTCTACGGCGATCTCACTCCGTAGGAAGGGCGTAACATAGAATGCGCCTTCAGGTGGAGACAATAGGTAGATGCATCTAGAAACGCGCTCCGTCTCACGAGGGATAACAATTCTAAGGGCGAGATTCGAAGGCAAGCAACACGTAACGCGCCTCCCCGACCCCTTTTCCTCCACAGGATGGCACAGAAGAGGAGGACCTCATGACAGCTGCTGCCATGGGGGATGGGGACTCTTCAGTCGTCATGGCAGGGCAGACATACGTGAACTTTAGCGGGGCATCTAATAGCGGCAGCGCGGACATCGTTGTCGTCAAACTTAATGCGACTTCGGGGACTGAGATCTGGCGCTATCAGGTATAGCTGTATGTAGGTCGAGACTGAACATCAGTCCTTCCGTGTTTCGTCGAAGAAGGCGGTGATGCGTACATAGGTACTGCAAGCCTCGTTAGGAAGCTGATGTTTGGTGGCAGGCTGACTGGCGTACAGCCGGTCTTCTTGTTTCGTCAATCTTGGACGCCCTCTCTACGCGTTCGGCAGGATGGAACAAGTGTTTACGACAAGTTGGGGTTGATAGCTGTGGCAGAGGACAACGGCATCGTGGTGGCGGGGTCCACGGACGGGATCTGGAGTGGGGAAAACGCCGGGCTTGACGATTTCGCGGCGGTGAAACTCAGGTTAGATCCGTGCAGATGCTGCTATCCGAAAAGGCTGAATGTCCCTGTTGTGTCGATATGATGCGCATGGTAGAATTTTTCAAGGCATATGATATTACGCACCTGACTCTGCTGGGCGTTCGTCGCTTTTCGAACCGTATGCTCTCGCCGACAACTTTTACCTGGACTGCGTTCAGCTCTGAAGGGGAAGAGCTCTGGAGGTGGCAAGTGAGTTGTGTTCCAGGCATGCATGTCATTTGACGTGAACTATAGATAGTGTTGTTGAGTGGCATTGCTTGTCCACCGGAGCATGGTTGCCGCTAAGCGGAATGGGTTCTGCGTGTCCAGCCACTTGCACGCCTCTCCAGACCTTCACCGGTGTTCGTGATTTGTAGCAGGTTATCGGATCTAGAGAAGGCCCGAAATTTTTGTATTCTCTCTTTCTCTCTCTCCCGCTTGCGTTGTGTATCCATGTTTGTTTAAGGCCGCTGTTGACTACAAACCCACCTGAATATTTGGAACATAGTGCAAGTCGCAGAATGTCACACACAGTTCCCCTCAACAAACCTGCCATAATTGATAGCCAAACACGATTAATGTGTTCGTCGACTAGATAGGTGGTTGTATTCCAAATGTGTATATCTTCGAAAAAATATTATCTTGCGAGGGAAAAATCCATGAGTAGAAACCGATAACTATTGCCATGTACAGTTTCCAACTTCCCTGAACACACCAGCTCGTACGTCTTCAATCCCACCCCAAAAAAAGACGCTACGGTGTAGCCCACGGCTGAACCAGGGTGCAATGCAATTTCCTATTGCCGACGCCGCCCCCCGAAACTCTTTTCCCAGGACTGTTGTTTCCCTTGCAAATATGGGACTCGATGAGGCGAGTGCCCAGTTCTACTGCCTTTACGCTCTACAGTGTTGTTTGTTGTTTTTGTCGTCACTGTTCAAGTGAAATCATTGCCATCGTGCAGTAGCTTCTCGCGTTTAATAATAATGTACGCTCACGTTTTACCCCAAGATGGCACGGCGGAAAATGATTTTCTAGACGGGGTAGCGATACAAGCCGACGGCTCCGTTATCCTCGGTGGGAATACGGTAGGGGACTGGGACGGCGCAAACGCTGGCGAGCGGGACTTTATCATGGTAGCCTTGTCCGCGGACGGCGAAGAGCTCTGGCGATGGCAGGTGACATTCGACTATCCTACGACTACTTTCTCAACATGATGCCGCCATTCTGCCATTTTGCTATTGGTCGGTTGATGTGGTGGTTGTTCGGCTAAGACACTTTCATGGAACGCTTCCTAGGCCCCTGAATCCTTGGGTTGTCTTCTCCAACAACGGTGACCCAAGCAGACGCCCCCCAAATACTCGGAAAGAGTCAAGCCCATAATATTGTGCACACTCGTTTTGCTCAACAGAACGGGACTGCCGGCAACGACGACCTCGACGTCATGGCGGCAGGATCTGACGGGAGAGTGATCTTGGCCGGCAACACTGCTGGGTCGTGGGGGGCAACAAACAGTTTGGAGGATGCCGCCTTTGTTGCTGTCATGCTCGACGTGCCCACCTCGGCAACCCCGGCACCATCGGCCTCGCCAACCCCGATACCATCGGCCTCGCCAACCCCGGCACCATCGGCCTCGCCAACCCCGGCACCATCGGCCTCGTCCCCTGCTCCTGTTCTTGATGCGACTTCTCCGACTCCCACGCGTATCCCACCTGCCGGTGTTGTTGCTCCTGATGCCCCAGCAGCTCCAACGGTGCCTCCTACTCCTGCTCCCACGGCTGCCCCCCTCGCGGCTGTCTCCCCTGGTGCGCCTACCCCCTCTGGCGAGGAATCGACGTCGAACACTACGCCGATGGTTGCGGGGGTTGTTTCTGCCGCGGCTGGGGTGTGTCTCATCGCGGTCGGGGTGTGGCTAAGGCGTCGGCGAACCGGGGGAAAAAGTAGAACCGATTCCCTGCCCCCTCCTTCCACGAGCCGGGGGTCGAAGCCCAACGACCCTGGGCTTGAGCCACACACAGAAGCCGGCTTAGGTACCGCCGTGGCTCCTGACAATGGTGGTCACCCGTCCTCGCAGGACAGGAGGCCGTCGCAGATTGCGCACGCACACACGGCGGCAGTTGCTGAACGATCAGATGACGTAATCGTTTCGACGTCCGGTGGAGGAGGAGGAGCACCGCCAGCACCAGTACCAGCGCCACCAGCAACATCAACGGCACCAGTTGCACCAGCACCAGTTGCACCAGCACCAGCACCAGCATCAGCACCAGCGGCGGCAGCACCAGCACCAGCGGCGGCAGCACCAGCAGCGGCAGCGGCAGCAGTTCCACGACCGGTGCAGGAAATGCCAAACAACCCTGAGCAGGACTCTTCTGACAAGATCTCGCCCCTCGCGCTTGGAAGCGGGAATATCAAAGACGGTGCGGCAAACAAGTCATCTTTGACGGCTACAGTCTCCACAGTCGACATGTCCACAGCAGAACGGGCGGAACTCGGTCAGTTCGACGAAAAGCAACAAAGCGCGGCGAGTGTGGCATCCGTCGACGGCGAGAGCGCGCCGGAAGTGTTAGGGGAGGGAATCGCGTCGTCCGCGACCGGCCGGCGGGGGTCCCGTGGCGGCATCGGTCTTCGCGAAGCCGTGATGCAGGCGGCCGAGAATCTGGCGTACCATTGCCAAATTCCCGGTGTTAGCGAGGCAGCTTCAGTGGTGTCGACTCTGGTTATGCTAGTCTCGGATAGCCGTGACATCAAGAGTGGGGGGGACTCAAACCTCAGGCAATGCCGCTCGATCGTCAGGATCCTGGAGCGGGCATCGAAGGTGGCTGGCAGGGTGAGTTTTGCCGGACCAAGGCTTTTCCCCGTATTTAGGTAGCCTTTTGTATCCAACACCTGTACTGTTTGTCTTTGAAGGGGGCCGAATAGGATGTCCGATGGTGTTGCCCTCCGAAACATATCAAAAGCCACAAGTGTGCACGCCCAAAGTGAAAACACAGAGTACCAAACGCATCTTAGCTCTTTCTAGTAATTGCTTTGGTCCCCTGTGCAGCACGTCGTTTCATTCGGGCACAGTCATTAATTGGACATGTTCGTGCGCGTTTCCCGTTGCTCCTACCGTACATCGTCGGAGTCCAGGGAGGCGAAACAACCACAGCCGAGCAGCGGGATTTAATCGACGAGGTGCACTACGCCATTGAAGACCTGGTGGAACTCATCAAAACGTACCAAAGCATGAACAGGCTCTCCAAGGTGCTCATGTCGACGTCCTTCAAGTGGCGCCAGAACGACCTGGAAGCAGCGATCGACCGAGCCCTTTCTCGTCTGCAAGTGAGTGATGGTGATGTAGTTGTTGGGTTATTTAACCTTGCTCTTGGTGACAACTTGAATGTTCACTCGCCGAAGAAGCACCGGTGTTGAATTGGCTTGCGGCATTTGCCCTATTGGGTGCACTTGGTACGTTGCTTGGTTGTGCAGGTAGAAGCGACGACTGTGTTTCTGCCAGTAGTCTAGTCGGCACACTTTCGACGCGCTATGAAGTTCGCATTAAGTCGCTTAGATGGCAATCCTTTCCTGCTTGTTGTTTGTCGGCGTGCAGTTCGGCCTCCAGGTGCAAGTCGGCGATGATGTCAGAGGAGTCAAGGAGGGGATCGACGTTGTCCAGGTTGGTCGGGAGTGATCGAAATATGCTGATGAGGGTATGCAAGCCACCGAATCCCTCAACGGTTGCAGGGGCGGCAGGGTGAAATCCATGGCAGGCACTTTAGTATCGTTACACCGGAGCACCGTGCAACTGGCCGTATACCGGCGACAATGCCCCGTAAAGGTCACCTTAGGCGTACCATTGGTGGTATATTCCGAGCGCTGTTCTGCTATCGAAACTTCGTGTCGCTCTAGTCTTGTTGGGTTAAAATGGCGCCTTTCGATTGACCCATTGTTGCCAGGGGTCCATCGTCGAGGCCAACGCGGCGTCTCTGGCGAAAGCTCGCAGCGCAAGGCGGCAGCGCAAGCTGGACCAAGTCGAAATCCCCGAGGACCAGGTGATGATTTTTTCGGACGAGCTTCTCGGGAAGGGCGGTTTCGGCGAAGTCTTCCTCGCCGAGTACAACAGGCGAAACGCGGCTGCCAAGGTGCGTCTGTCTCATTTTTTATTTTATTTTCCAACTTGCTTCTATCTCAATAGTTTGCCGAGGGCGTGTAGCTGCACAGTATGTAGTTCGGCGTCGCAAAAACCACCCACCGTGCGCTCGCATGGCTGCCATGTTTGGGGACTTGGCCCGACAGATTATGGTGGTGATACTAGCAGGGCATGTTTGTTTCCGCACTATTTAGTGCCTCATCACATCGTACACGGTACTCCACGTTGTGCCGTCGGTAAAGTATGTCTGGCCATTGAAGATTGAGAAAATCAGAGAGGAAGGGAACGGCCCATTATCAGCCTGTAGGAGCTTCGCCGGGTTATTACCCCGACACCATTGGTGCATGGTGTACCGATCGTCAACTAAAGCGCTGTTAGTTGTTTGTCTATTGACACTTACTTGCAAACCGGAATGTTTCTGGGCAAGCCGGACGAGGGATTCCCCATTTTTTTGCATCCTGCACTTGCCTAAACAGTCTCGACTAAAATGGAAAGCTTGTTTCCTTTCCGTTGCCGGGCAACGCAGGTGCTTCACATCGCCCACGACCTCGGCAAGCCCGGCGGGCAGGAGGACTTGCTAGAGGCTCGGGTTGACGGTCAATCCAACCCAGAGCGCGAAAAAAGCCAGCGCAAGGCTTTCCTGCGCGAGCTTGAGGCCATGATTCGCCTCCGCAGCCCCCACACGGTTGGTGTGTACGGGGCCATAACGTCGCGGCCGGACCGTCTAGTTCTCGTGATGGAGCTGCTCGCCGGCGGGGATCTCCGCCGTTTGCTCAAGAACTCCGATCAGCCGCTTCCCGAGGAGCAGTGTCGGCGCATCATCGGAGACATCTGTGCGGGCATGCATTTCCTCCACAGCAAGGAAACCGTCCACGGTGACCTCAAGTCTGCCAATGTTCTTCTCGATGGAGCTGGAAGGGCCAAGGTGAGGGTTGCGGGCTGCGGAAGGGTGGTGTTCAGTTTGCGGAAGACCTGTGCTCGGCTTCGAGAAAAGATCGCACCCCAGGCCAAGGCACAGCCCTACTGTAAGCTATCGGTTTCACTTGTCGCTGGCGGTGCAACGTGTCGTGAGCTACATACAGCAGTTTTGACGTCGGAACGGACGATTGATCTGCCCTGCCCAGGGATCAGGGGCGAGACACCCACCTGTCTTGTACTCACGCCTGGCTCGATACATTTATCTGTCCGTCGTTACGTTGCAGATCGGCGACTTCGGCACATCCCGGTGGTCCTATCACACCAACTCCACGGGCCTGGCCACGTACACCAAGGCCGGTCAGAACACCCAGATGAGCCTCGCCTGGAGCGCACCTGAGGTATGCTTTGCGTGTGGCAAAAGCGGCAGATCCTGCTCCTTGGTTTCGTTACCCTTTGATGCTTTGTATGGTAGCACGTATGGGAGTCGCAACCAGCCCCGTCCCAGGCTTCACGTGGCCGTGTGAGGAAAACCTGTCCGGGTTTTCGGGATTCTTATGTAGGTCTGTTTTGACAACGCTGCTGCCTTTAACTGCCTTTGGGACAAGTTCGTAGCTCCCCACGGCCATCTATGTCGTGCCGCTACTGCATGGGGTATAATTGGAAGCCTTCCAAGGATTCGTTTATGCATATCATTGTCTAGGAAAACTCGCCGCCGACCTTCTGCGCCAAGTAAACAAAACAATATCTCTGAAAATGTTGTAAGGTGCTGGGTGCCTCGGGGAGCACTTACGCCAGCGACGTCTACAGCTTCGGCATCGTCGCCTGGGAAGTGCTTTCGAGGGAGCTCCCTTGGGCAAGCGTGGTACATCCGCGGGAAGTTTACATTCGTGTGGTGTTGAATGAGCTTCGCCCCGAGATTCCCGCCGATGCTCCCGCTGACATTGCCACCATAATGAGGGCGTGCTGGGCGGGAGACCCCGAGGCGCGGCCCACTTCCAGTGCCATCATGGAGCGTATCGAGTCAAACGGTTGGAGTGACTAGGAGCAATGGCCGCACGCCAAACGTTGGGTTTGGTGGCTGGTCTTTTAGCTGCTTATACCGATATTGTTCTTGAGCGACCCAGCGGACGATATTTCCCGCCGCTCCAACTCTCCTGGTCAGGGTTTTGGTTTGGTTTAGCATCTTGATTTGTACCTTTTTTCAGCTTTTTTGCACCACCTATTTAGTTTAGCGAGTTTTTCTTGTGTTTTGTTTAGCCTTTCTTGCTGCGGTGATCTGCTTTCAATTTGACCCGAAAAGGATTCAGTGTTCCGTTTGCTTTTTTCGTCTTCAAAAACGAATGTTTTGTCAGTGCTGAGCCCAGGTGTGCAGTCCGAGAGCGAGGCGCATTGGGTTTTGTCTCTGGGCGGCTCGAAATGTTACCGGGCCCACCGCAAGTTCTGTGTTCGGTCGTTGTTGGATGACTGCTGTAAGTTTTAACCATCGTTTCATGGCAGCAATGCCGAGAATGAAAAATTGCAATCTCCCTGCTTAACGCTCTCGAAAGACAGTTTGCGGCGATTCGGGCATTCTACAAAAATGCAGCCCCCGAGCGAGCACTCTGTGGGGATGCACAAAGTCGTTCACGGGTTCACGGCACACTCAGATCTACGCCGTAGTTTGGCACTTGTCACGGAGCGCTGGCAGAACAATAACCATCACGACCCCCTGCAGCACAACGTGTTGTAATACTTCTCTATTTAGTCTATATACGGATACATCGTAGTAGCCACCGTCGACCTCGGTGGCCGGCTGGCCCACAACCGACCTATCCGGACCAACCCCAAACGGCGGCAGTTCAACCGACAAGATCTGCAGGTCGAGGCAGCGCGATGGGCTGTATCCCAACGGTTTCTCTGCAACCTGCTCGCGAGGTCGGGCGCGCCGGCGACCACCGCGCAGGAAATGGCGAAGGAGTTCACGGAGGCCCTGCTCGGCGCGGCGGAGACGGAGCTGTCTGAGGAACCCCGGAGGCGGCGCACCACGGAATGGAACATGACCACCGCGGCACGGACAGCCCTGGCGACCGCCCTTGACAAGCGACGGGCTGCGCGACATTCCTTCAAGGCCGGACCGAACGCAGCAACGTGGAGGATCCTCAAAGCAACGTGCAAGGGGGTGAAGGCAACAATCGCAACGAGCATCTACGACCACCTGGAAAGATACGTGACGGAGCTCGAAGCGATCTACCAGGACCGCGACATGCGGGGGCTGTACCAACACCTCAAGCGGTCAACGGGCCTCAGCGGGAGACAAGCTGGGGGGCAGCAGTTCGTTACAGACGAGAACGGCGTGCTACTCCGGAACAAGGATGCCATCCTCAAGCCATGGCGGAGATTCTTCGATACCCTCCTGAACTCCAAGTCCCCCACTCTGANGACCGCCCTTGACAAGCGACGGGCTGCGCGACATGCCTTCAAGGCCGGACCGAACGCAGCAACGTGGAGGATTCTCAAAGCAACGTGCAAGGGGGTGAAGGCAACAATCGCAACGAGCATCTACGACCACCTGGAAAGATACGTGACGGAGCTCGAAGCGATCTACCAGGACCGCGACATGCGGGGGCTGTACCAACACCTCAAGCGATCAACGGGCCTCAGCGGGAGACAAGCTGGGGGGCAGCAGCTCGTTACAGACGAGAACGGCGTGCTACTCCGGAACAAGGATGCCATCCTCAAGCCATGGCGGAGATTCTTCGATACCCTCCTGAACTCCAAGTCCCCCACTCTGAACCCAGACGTTGTCGAACAGGTGACGCACACCTGTAGCCATTCGGCTACCCTGCCAGGGTGGCCGAATGCCCACCCTGCCAGGGAAGCCGAAAGGACCCACCCTGCAGGCACGTCCCAAACCCATTCCTGCAGGGTGGGTACGTGTGGGTACCCTGCCAGGGTCTTTGCCCGACACCCTGGGGAAACCCACCTTGGGTAAACCCTGTGAAAACCCCTCGCGGTTGTAATAACGGCGCCGAAAAAGTGGATCTTTTGCTTCTTTCGATTTTATTTTTTGTTATATATATTCATAATAGCCCGGGGGTAGCCCCGGCCTCATCTGAAGCCTTTTTTCTTTCGTGAGCGGGGAGGGGGGAGGGAGTGGATGGTCTGGGTCGGTGTGGGGAAGGATGAAAAAGCAGGAGGTTGTTTGATGAAGGAAGAAAGGAAATAAACAATCGTTTGAGTTGTATAAAAATAATAAATTTCACTCCACGTCGCACCAGGAGGTGCAGCAGGCGGACAGACAGAGGCCCGCCGCAGGCTGGCTCTAAGTTATCCATGGGCGCGAATTGCGCAGGAGGATTGGAGAGGTCACGGGTGGGTTTAGACCGGGGTCTGCAATCAATCGTAATCTGTCCGGCTAACAAACAAAATTAGGGATGGAGTCACCGAGGGCAGTCCCGATGGGGTAGCCGTCGGTGTGAAACCGAAAATAAATATAAATGGTGAAATGTTCTAGTTCAAGGTCCCGGCATGTGTCTGCGGCACGTCGAATACGACAAACAAACAGCAAACCGTATAATAAGCATCCAATCCAAAACCTGAAGTACAAGCGGAAAACCAGTCGTCGTGCAGACGACGAAGAACGCAAAAAGGCAGGGGTGTAACCCAGGCTAGTTACTGAAATGCAGGATGGCGGCCCGATCCAAGCCCGGTACACATACATGATACATAGAAAAATTGTTGGCAAGGCGAAGTACACACCACGCGGAAAATAAATAAATGCAGTAGAACCAGCCGAGGAAATCTGGGAGAACAAGTGCAAGTACAAAAGCGTTGACGAGACGAGAAACGACAGGAAATAAATGCACGAGGGACGGCGAGGTCCGGCGCGAAAGGCTCGTCTGACCATACAAAAAGCGGAAAAGCGCATCATCAGCCGTACGACACACACACACACACACACACACACACACACACACACACGCGCGCGCGAAAAATGCAACATACATGAGCGCGGAAGAGGCAGTCGTGCGAACCAGTCGAAACGAGGCAGGAAACCTATGCGTAAACTAAAATGCCCCAAGCGTAAAACCGCCCAGGACGATGGAAACGAAAACAAACGCGATAATAAGAAAATGAGGTCGAAAAAAAGGCACGCCGAAGGCAAGGATGCAAGGGTTGCCGCCGGATGCGCGCCCCCCGTGGAGGGAAATACACGCGCGAAAAGAACGGAAACTAAACGCGGAAAAGAGGCAGCTGACCAGACAGTACGAATTGCCCCAAGAGAAAAACCGCCTAGCTAGCTAGTAGGATGATAAGGGAACAAGGAAAACACGACGAGAAGACCAGGTTAAAGACAAAAACGCCCGCCCATGAGGATGAAAACGTAGTAATTGAACGCAAGGGATAAAAAATAAGGCGTGCGGTCCCGAGGAGGGAAATACACGCGAATCAGAACAAAAAAAGGCCAGCAGCCTGACGCGTACCACCTCCCAGGGGTAAAACGGAGTCGTCAGGGACAGGATTGTCGCCGGAGGCCGTTTCGGACGCAAATAAATGGCTCGTTTGGGTGCGCGCATCATTTTGTCGGCGCGGCACTGCTTTGTGTGGGGTTTTCCTCTTCATTACCGGACTCAGCGCCAACAGGAAAAAAAGAAGGGCCGCGAAGGCGACAAGCCGGGCGCGCATGGTGGCTGCAGCCTAGGGTGTGTGTTGAAAAGAAAGACAGGAAGTGAGCAAGTCTGAGCTGTAGCCTCACGATGGTTGTTGGTCGTACAACAAAAAAAAGCGGAATCAAGGAGCGCACGCACTGCTGTGTGGAAGGAAATTGAATCCACGATGATGATGGTTGGCCAACCTGCGTATGTATGTATGTATGTATGTTCTGTGACATGAGAAGTTCCCACTACAAGTGGAAAATGTTTGTCTATATCAGTCGATCCATGCAATGCTGGGGTAAGATGAAGCAACTTTGTTGCTCGGACAAGTTGGAGTTGTCTTTCAACACGTGCTACTTCATATCTTTCCGCTGCAAGAGGAGACAGATCTGAGGTATCTGACTTCTGCTGATCTATGTGTACAGCTCCAAATGCTTGCACGAAGAGGATGACGACATGTTGGAAGTGTTTGCAAAATACTTTCGCCAGTTGCGGATCGATGTGTTTGACTGTCGAAAAAATTGACGTTTCAAGAGTATCTTGTCGAACCTGATCCAGGGCACTGCTGACGTCGTCGAGGTCCCACGGTAATAGGAGTTGCCGCCTGTCGTCATCATCCTCTTGCGGTGGCTGCAACGACCCAGAGAGAGATGGAGACGATGTAGTACCTGGTTCGCAACAATGCTTGGTGCGTGGAGAGAAAAGGTCGCCGCATGTGCCACATGCGGCGTAACCAGGTGCCTGGCTGCTCGAGCGCAAGGATCCAGGAGGAGACAAACTGAGTAGTAGCTCCTTTCCTCGACCTGTATGCTGACGTTTTTGGTGTGTAGCCAGATTCCTCGCCGTTAGGTTCGTTGATCCTTCGCTGATGCAGAGGGGACATGAATACCGTACTTCCGTTGGGCATCGTGGCGCAGGTCCAGGTACGGGTGATGGTGGTGCCAAATCTTGGTTCATGACACCACTCATTGCCGATGCGACTGGAGGCTCCAGTGTAAAGCGATTCCACGTCAGTCCATCAGTCTACCACTGCTGCTGCTACTACCTTCCACCACGCTACTGAGCGTGCGTGGTGGAAGTGG